GGGCTTATCCCAAGGAAGGTAGAGCGCCTTGGGGGGCGAGCCATGATTCCCAAATTGCGGGGTTCTAGGGAGGTCCCCCCCCCCCCCCCCCCCCCCCCCAGGTGAGATTTTTATTATATTTTAATTGGCTAATTATTTTTGATCACGTGGAAGTGAGATTTTTGAGACCCCTAATAATTACGTAATATATGTCACTCCCCTTATGCCAACACTAGTATTTTTATTGGCTATCAAAATTATTCAGCCAATTATTACTTAGCACGTGAAGTTTCTCACATGATCTGGATCTACGGGAAACGAATTACCGATCTACAAACTTGTCCCAGAAAAATTAATAACAGATGCGCGGTGTATAAAATTAAAGTTTCATTTTATCTGACAACTAAAATATGAGTGAAACAAAGCCTATTAAAGTGTGAGTACTCAAACATATTATTAAAAGTTGAGGCTTACAAGTTTTGTCTTGCTAAAACTTTCGTTTTAGCCTGGCAACAGGGTCAGCAAATGGCCAGATCAAACGACTATTTGAAACGGTCACGAAAATCAATGAAAAGTGGGGACCCTTCGACATGCATTTGTGTGCTGGAGATTTGTTTGGTGAACAGGAGGACTCTGAAGAAATTGAACTCTTGATTAAAGGTGACATTAAAGGTAGATATACATTTGTATAACATGCTTCCAAACATACATATACGTATTTGTAATTCTAAAATAAAATTTTCCTTCTGATAAGTACCACTTGATGCATATTTCATGTATGGAAAGAATGAAATTCCCTCAAAAATAAGTGAACGAATCAAGAATAATAGCGGCCAAGTTTGCGAAAATCTCTCATATCTTGGTAATTAATTATATGCAATATAACTTTCTTAGATCGTATAATCTATAACGATCTATACTTGATTAACAGAGGGCGAAAGAGGTGTTATTCTTACAACACATGGCGCGAGAATAGCCTACGTCAATGGAATACCAAAATCCTCACAATTCGATTCAATAAATGGAGGCGTAGATATTTTTCTTAGTTACGAATGGCCGAAATGCATAACGCGATTTTCCAATCAACATAACATTACAAAAGATTTTCAAAATTATGGGTCACGGCGTGTCGCGGATATCTCATTGTCGATCAAACCACGATATCATTTCGCTACTGCTGCATCAAAGTTTTTCCAACGAGAACCTTATAAGAATGATTATTCTTTGGCTCAAGATAATAATAATAATAATAATAATAATAATAATAATAATATAGTTGAAGATACTAAAATAATGGGTATTGATACTGATGATACACAGAAAACAACTTTTGCCACTTGGTTTGTAGGATTGGCTGATGGTTTGTTTGTTTTCTCTTTTAATACATATACCAGTGAGCTTTACTAGTGGCTATTTTATAATTAATCATAATTGTATGTTTTTATAAATTAATAATTTTCATCAGCAATAAATCAAAGTAAAGAAACAGAAAGCAAGGTAAAGTGTTGTTTCTACGTATTCGTGGAATATTCCTAATAACTCACTAACCCGAATTTTTATTACAAATATATTCATAGTGGTATTACGGGTTCAATCTTGTCCCTTTTTTGCATCTCGATCAGACCTCTAAAATTGAAATACCAATGAACATCACTGAATGTCCGCTTTCTGTCGCGCAGCCAAAAAAAGGCAAAAAGCGGGTAAATGACGTGAGTTTAGTTGGCTATTTTATTTCGTTATATACCTAATATTCATACTCAGTTTCATAATTGTTGCCTATTAGGATGATGACGAAAAAGTATATTCACATTATTCAAACGAATCTAATTCGGAAAAAAAATACAAAAAACAAAAGCGTGGAGAAAGAGGTATCATTTTTTTTTCTTGCTAAAATTTTGTACAGCATTTTTTTTTTCAATTTTCAATAATTTATACGTGATTTCTCTCTTATTTCATAAAGGTCCACCACCTGAAAAATATGTTTGCCATATATGTGACGAACCAGGCCACTGGATTGACGAATGTACAGTTAACAAATGCATCGAGTGTAAACAAAAAGGTCACTCAATACAAACGTGTCCAAATAAGAAGGACAGACCTCCGAAAGGTAATATTTATTTTCGCATACAACATAAATAATCACCTAATCAAACGATATAAATATTATAAATTATCATTATTATAGAACTAGGACCCTGTTGGTTTTGCTTGAGCAATCCGAAAGTCTCCAAACAGTGAGTATATACAACTTACGCTTATCAAATTTTTATGTGTGTGGGTTTTTGATTTTCGTTTGGCATCTACTAATTGATTCTTTATATAGTCTCGTTGTTTCGGTAGGAACCGAAGTATATGTGGCTGTAAGTTAAATACGAAATTTTCATTTTCATGATGTATGTCTATTTAAATTCTGACTCGTATTAAAACATATAAAATCAGGTAGCTAAAGGAGGCTTAATAGATACAACAAATAAATTAGTCTCCCCAATCATACCAGGAGGTGGTCACGTATTGATTGTAAGTTATAACTTCAGAAATAGAATAATGTTCTAATTCCTCAAAACTTTCGACTGAAACTTTTTCTTTCATCAATTATCAGATATCTCTTGCACATTATGAAACGTTTTCGTCAGCATCCGAAGAAGTCCGAGACAAGATATCTGAAGAAATCGAAAAATACAAAGAGAGCTTGCGAGAAATGTTCAATCATTATGGCGCCAATCTATTGACATTCCAAGTATCTGTGTGTGGAAAGCGTCACCATGCTCATATACAAGTTGTTCCGGTCCCGATAAAATATGATTCTGAATTCATCAGAGAAAAATTTGTTAAAGAAGCCAAAGCGGAAGGGTTCATTTTTGAGGAAGGGCCTCCTTTGGTTGCTGAAGATGATAGTGATAATGATGAAAGATCTAAAGAATGTAATTTCTCTGTGGAATTGCCAAACGGTGAAATTTTGACTCATCGTTTCAAATACGGCAAAGCATTCGACCAACAATTCGGAAGGTATGTATATAAAAAAATATATATATATAAAATCAACTAATTGAAGGATCTATTTATAAGTCAATTTTATATTATTATAAATTTGCAGGAAAGTATTGGCGAATTTATTTGAAACTCCTGAACGTGCAAGCTGGAAAGCGTGTTCCCTAAATCAAACTAAAGAGGAACAAGATCGCGATCAATTTCGCTCTGCTTTCAAAGATTTTGATTTTACATTGAAAGAATGAGAAGTCATCATACTTTATTGGTAAAACAGATTTCTGTTTATTATCCAATTAACTCATTCAACGAAAGTCTGAAAAACTAGATTTTTTGGATTAGCTCTATGTAGAGCTAGCAATAATACATAATACATGTGATGGGTAAAGTTGGAATGTATTTAAATTTTGTGTATTATTATTTTTTTGAATCCACTAATTCGTACATACATTATTCTATAGACAAAGTAATTAAATACAAGAAATTTAATAAATAACAAAGAATCTATAATTAACCCAATACTATTATTTTATTTACTCGCTAATTACAATAATCCACAACAAAAAACTAAAGAATGAAGATCATTCGTCGTCAAATACAACCGAAACTGCCACATTACCCACTTCCCATATCTCTGAATCTTCGTCAACCACCTGTTCAAAGTCAATTGCATGATTCGCACGCGAATGCTCTAATCTTTCCTTTTCTTGGGCAATAGCTTTTGTCAAATTATACCGCGCAAATTCGCTTATATTTTTATTGGTTTGAGCGTCGGTAGTCGATAGATATTTCTATTTTTGACGTGAATAAATAAATGGGACATTATAATACATATGCAGTGAAAATATAATATCACAGAATTTCAACATTTTTTTAATTTATTAATTTTTATGCAACACAGAAACGAAAATCGCATCATCTCATACTTGTAAAACAGCTTCCCCATCCAAGAGTTGTAAAGCATAAACCAATGCTTGTTCAGCAACTAACTTTACCGACAGGTTTCTATCTCGCGCAGATATGATTAAGGGCGGAACGATTATTGGAAGATACTTTTCCAATATCTTTGTGTAAGAGTAGAAACATTTTATGTTATGTTGAATTCTAATAGACGTATATATTTATATTGAACCATGTTATACTTACCGCCGAGTGGTTTCTAGCAAATGCACGGAAAACAGTCAATGCAAGCCTCTTTGTATCTGCAAGAGAAGTAGGCGGCTCTTTAATATCATTTACCAGCGCTTCGACCAGACGATCAATAATTTCTTCGTTCTGATATAGCGTGGTGAGAAGCATCTTGCCGGCAGCGAGTATTGCGGTATCTGATATCATGGGCTACACAGAAAAAGTGTTAAATATAAAATAATTAGCAGATTGTCGCGAAAAATTAGAATAAAGAACACATCACCTGGTTACTTTTAGTACTATTAATAATTATATCGACCAAATTATCTGTTAACCCTAAATCTTCGAATGTTGTCGGAGATTCTGCAAGAATAGCATTAATAGCTAACAGAGTGCCATACGAAGCATGAGCATCACGTAAAACATGGTTTCTATTATTTAAAACAAAAAAGTTAAATTCCAGTATCAGAATAAAATTTTGATGCATTAAAAGAACTTACTTGATTATATCTTCCGCCTCATCTGGTGTCAAGCTTTTGCATAATGTTCCTAATACACGAGAAGCTGCAACGATCACTCTCTCTGTAAAGCGATCAATACACAACAAATTAAGAATATGCTAATATAATGAATTTCAAATATATAGCAAAAAAGCTAATACCAGTATTTTCACTCAAGGAGTCCACAACAACGGTAACAATATTTTTTTTTGAATTTTCACTCATTAATTCCCCGGCTTTATTGACAACGCTTTCCAAAGCATCTAACATTGTCTCGCGAACATCTGGTTCACTTTTCGTGACACCAGTCACCAACTCGGATATAAGTGGATCCACTCGATTTTGTAAGGAAATGAGGATGCCTAAAGCAGAAGCAGCACGCGATCGTACTGATGCACTGGATGTGTCGGCAAGAGACTTTATAAAGGCACGTTGTAGTTGAGGTATGAACGGTTTTAGAGCTAAAGGAATTTTATTAAGAAGGCGGCTACAAGAATTGAGCGAATACAAGATTAGTTAATAATGAAGTCACGTTAATAAAGTAACTAATGTATTTGTGTTATATTCACCTTAAGGTTTGTAGTATTGCTGCTTTCACAGCAGAAGGATATCGATCACTAACAATACGAATCAATGGTCCGGCTACTTGGGACGCAAAAGATTGAAGTGCCTCAGGAGAGGTACGTTGAATTAGATCTCCCATCCCTAATGCAGATTGCTCACGAATTTCCGAAGTACCATATTGAAGTCCTTGAATAAATATCGGTAGAATAGGACTAATCCCCTTTGGTAAACAAAAGCCTGGAAGATTGACTCCTGGTACACCAACAGCCTTTACAGCACGGCGCACAGGTATGACTAATGGCTCTAGTTCATCTTTCTTTAAGGATTTCGTGACAGCGTTCAAAGCATTCCAAGCAGATTTCACCACTTCATGAACACGATCATCCAACAAAGAAACAAGTACACGTATCCATTCGGGAATATATCGAGAAACATCCATCTTATTTTCATTGAAGAACATTGTTAGAATCTCACACGTGCCAAATCTCTTTGAGGGATCTTCATTCTTGACCGTTTCAAAAAGCATCATCATTAGTGTTTGAAGACCTTCGGCGTTATCAATCGAGAGAATTAATGTTCGTTCAGTTTCTCTTAGCACCTCTTTTGTGGTCTCATCTTTTGCTAGATTGATCGAGGTCATAAGCGCGGTGAGTATGCTTGTTAGTCTTTTGTTCAGCGTAGGACCAGCTACAGCGATAAGAGTCGATAATGCACGTGCGTTGAATGCATCAATTGGAACAGCGGTGAGTGTGGGTATTAGAACTGGGAAAACGACATTAGCGCGAACAGCCATTAGTTCCTTAAAAGCTTCCAAAGCATAATCTGAATTTTTGCCTGATTGTAAAGAATTTAGTAATGTCGGGATGATTTCATCAATTGCTTTTTGTCCGACATGTTGATGTAGAATGTCAAATGCTAATTAAAAAATATTATATTAGCATATTAGTAAACATGCAAATATTTAAAATCGTATGATAATATTTGTATTTTGCTACCTTGTGCAGCAGCTTCACGCACTTCGCCCGACTCGTCAATCAACGCTTTTCTGACTGCCGGAACAAAGGAATCTGTATATTCAGTAACTTGTATTTTACTAGCGGTACTCATGATTTCACTAAGGCCCACACATACACCCTGACGCGTGTCTGGGTCTAAAGATTCGAGTCCTCCTTCTAGAATTGGTATTATTTCCGATAAGATACTCTCGCCAAGTTTTCGCACAAGTTCACCAAGTGTACGAGCAGCAACTTGTCGCCTCTCGGGGCTATGACTCGCAAGATTACGAATTATTGTTGTCATCATAACAGGAAGTATATCCTTTATAGTACGAGGGGTGTTTGATACGATTGCTTTCCAAACATGCATCGAAGCTTGACGAACAACTCCTGAAGCTAAAAAAATATACACAATTAATTAATCAATCAATCAGTCAATCAATCAAAAACATAAACTATAAACAAATAGAGTAATTAACGAACATACCATCTTGTCTGACAATATACAAGGAAGCTAAGACACGATCTCTTCTTTCTTTTCCAAAAACTTGAAGTAATGCCTTTCTATCAGCATCTGTACCGCCTGTTTCATCTTCACCGCCCTCAGGAGTGGCCTTTCCACTGATTCCAGTAATTCGGTATAACAAATCACCCATTAGTTGAATTGAACTATGACGTATTCGCCAATTATCGTCAAATAAGCCCCTCTCTAATTCAGGGAGTAATAAATCTACAGCTTTGGTGGCATAATTAGCAACAATCATTTGACCAGCACGTAGTGAAGCTTCACGGACGTATTCAGAATCATCTGCAAGGCCAGCCAATATTGGTGGGATAATCCGTCCAAGGTAAGGTTGGAATCGAAGACCAAAAGTGGCCGGAAGGTAAATAAGTAAAGAAATGAATCCCTCACGAACATATGACTTTGAGCTCTCGGTATTGGTTAATATTTCTGGTAACAAGCCTTCTAGACGTTCTAAGCCTAAGCCGGCTAATACTTCACTAAGACCTTGAGCAGCACCTTGTCGATCGACACCACTAGTATCAGATTTAAGAGTATTTGTTAATTCGGTGACCAGGACTGGGAATTTATCTTCGCCCAATTTTTCGACTAGTGTTCCTAAAGCCTTCGCAGCTGTAGCTCGCGCTTCTGGGACAGGATCAACTAAAACTTCTTTGAGCCCTGGTAACAATTTTGGTAAATATGGTACCAGATCTTTGACATCTGTTAATGAAGCCATGTTGCCCACAATTTGAGATGATTTTTTTTTAACGTCAGTACTTCTTTCTTTCAAGCCCCGTTCCAATATTGGCATGACCTTATTATAAGAAAGATATAATGTTAGCAACAAAAAGGTCGAGATAACAACTCCAAAGTATATATATTACCAATGCTAAGGAAGGTGCATCAATATAATGGACAAAAGCTGTTTTTAATAAAGCATTTAATGCTGCATTAGTATTCTTATCCGGGTCACTTAATGCATGCAATAATGTTGGTACAAGTTCTTGAACTTCAGGATTGCTAATAACTTCGCCAAAACGCAACAGAGATTCATTAGCAGCAGCTTGAACTTGCGTATGAGAATCCATGAGGACTTCTGTCAATCGAGGGACAATTGTAGGTAAAGAAATCGATAATTGCTTAGGCGCACAAAAAGCCATCGAACCCAATAATTCTACGGATCCTTTTTTTGTGCGCCATTGACGATCTTCTAAGCCAGAAAGTAGCGACGGAAGGATCAGTTTGACACAATGACCGCTTATTTTACTCATTATAACCCTGGCAGTATCTGATGTTGCTTCCCGCACATCCGGATGTGAATCTCCAAAGCAAGTCAAGAGTAATGGCAAAATTTGAATTATATAGGGCTCAAAAAGTCGACCTAAAGACTGTGATAAAGCTTCAAAAGCAAACAGAGCCCCTTGGCGGCACTTGTAACCTTTCTTGTTCCCAATGTTTTCTTTCAATGCAGTCATGATATTACAATCTTTCAATGCAGATATACCAGCACCTTTAATAACACCGGCCAATCCAAAAGCAGCTCCCTTTCTTTCCGC